TGTTTATTACTCAAAACGAGTCTCATTCTGATAACTCTCAATTCACTAGTAAAGAGGGAACCCTGGCTTCTCAAAGGACATACCAGAAGATCATAAGTTCTGGCAGGTCCCGTTCATCTGGAAAGAATTCAAATGACAATCCACTGATAAAATTATATGTATGTTACCTGAGGTACAACCAAATTGTAGAGAAGTCTATCACCAGAAAGATGGCTTTCCTGCCCCCCCCAACCCCATTACAGTAAGTCATGAAGATCATATATTGTGTGTATGGGTTACAATTCGCATTATTAGGGTAAATAACCACACCAATGAAACAATGAATTCTTGAAGTATTGAAGAAAGAACTTCTGTCTTCTCTGCCTCTGTATGACTGTAAGGTTTTAAAAACTAAGTTATTCACATTCATGTAGGCACGATTCACTATTCACTACATGCCCCTGCAGACAGTTAGAAAACATTTGATGGCTTGTAGTCTTAAAGTCATTCTCTTCCATTAATTCATCCAAATTATCTTTCAGAATTCCATTTTCATCTCTGTTTATCCTCTCTGTTCACTACCATGGAAACTCTACTGTTCAAATGAAACCTCATTTCTTAGAAGAAAAAAAAAATCACAGCATCAAGTACTAGTTCTCTTCTTTTCAATTTTTTATTGCCCTGTTTAATCCTGTATTTCTTTTGTTTCTGAAACTAACACTTCCTTTTATTTTCTAAATTTAGTTTCTCCTTAATTCACATCTGTTTTCAAACACCCTTTCCCATATTTTATCCACTTCTTTTTCCTTATCTTATTAATATTTCTATATTTCCCCTATCTAAAAAAAAAAAACTATCACCCAGCTCCATTGTTACATTCTGAACTTAAGACTTTCTCCATAAATCCACAATACTAATTCCTTCTTATACTTACTTCTTTTCTTTATTAGATCTTGTCTTAAGGAAGACTTTCTAATAGTTTTCCATAAATAAATTAATCAAACAAAATAATCTACCTCAAAAATCATTATATATTTAATAAGGAATGAAAAACTTAAAATTAATTCCTGTTGATTTTACATCTGTAAATTTCCAATTTTTCTAAATATCAACATTTTAAATAACATCATTTTTAATTTTCAAAAAACTACTAGAAAAATAATACCTTTTGATAAACATTTATTGGAAATTTTCACTTGACTAAGCATATTTTAGTTAAATATATGCCAAGTAAAGATAAACTGAATAAATAATATTATGATTTATTTTATGTACATATATGCCAAGCATAATCTGACATGTACCTGTATGTATCTGCTAACAATAAAGCCTAAAAATATAAAAGGCATGCAACAAAACAACACATTAGTGGCTAGAAGATTAATAATCTCCCTTATCCTAGTCTTCTTAATAGTTTTAGTAAAATAAATAATTTTATAACACGAATATAATCCTATCAGATGCAATTCCTTCCTTACAGGTTGTGTTATATCAGGCTTTCACTATATGTTCCTATGTTACAGAGACATAATTTGACCAAGGGCTATAAATGAACATGTGTAATGATTTGTTGTTGTTTCATTTCAGTCATTTTGAACTCTTTTGTTTTCTTGGCAAAGATACTGGAGTGGTTTGCTATTTCTTTCTCCGGGTCATTTTTACAGATGAGAAATCTGGGTTAAGTGACTTGCGCAGGGTCACAGAGCTAGTAAGAGTCTCAGGCCAGATTTGAACTCAGAAGATGAGTGTTCCTGACTGCAGGCCTGCCAGCCATACTATAACAGGATTCCATTCCATTGTACTTAACATTAATAGCTTCTGTTATGGATCTCATTCCATTTTCAAATACAAAGAAAAAAATATGTATCATTTAAATATTGAGCCCTGAGTCTGCTTTTTATGATGATTATTGGGGAGAAATACATATCCTATTAAAATTTTTAGAAAACAAAGTAAATATAGATTCTAATTCTATTTTTTGTTGCATGCATGACTATTTTTCTAAGAATAGTTTTGAGGCAAACATTTATATTTGGCTCTCACTTATTCATTAACTGTTTTTAAATGCAGCCAAGCAATGAAGTTACATAAATTTGGTGCATCATTTTTTGTTTAAATAATAGACCTCACATGCATGACAATAAAAATAACTGAATATTGCTTACTAAGAAATGGCCTTATCAAACTGAACAAATTAGATGAAAATCAAAAACCTTAATGGGTTCTCCACCAAGAAATATTACAATATAAAACAAATTTTACTTTTAAAATTATGAGAATAGCTTTATATTCAGAATTGACCTTGAGGAATATTTATAAAAGACATAAAGAATGGTTGGTTTATAGAAATAGTTCTCAAATTTTTGGTCTCAGGATTCCTTACACTCTTAAAAATTAATAAGTTTTTGTGTATGGGTTATATTGATCAGTATTTACTGTTTTAAAAATTAAAATGATTTCATATTACATTATTATAAAAATACTTTTGACCTCATAGACCCCCTGACAGGGTGATGAGGGCTCCTTGTTGGTCTCTAGACCATACTTTGAGAACCACTGGTTTACAGGTTGCCTGGAGGGTGACACAGTATGAGGGATATTAGAAAGGACATAGTATGCTAGATCTTTGTTTTCTCCTGGTTCACAGTGACCCAGATAAGAGTGTTATTGAAAAGAAGTGATAGAGAATATGCAATTTTCTCCTAATGAGTAGAAATCTTATAGGTCTTTACAGAACAACATTTCAGGGGGCAGCTGGTTGGCTCAGTGGATAGAGTGCGGCCCTGAAGTCAGAAGGACCTGAGTTCAAATCCAGCCTCAGAACAAACACTTGACACTTACTAGTTGTGTGACCCCAGGCAAATCACTTAACCCCAATGGCCAAAAAAAAAAAATGAATAACATTTCAGCTTCCCAATTTTAAAGGTCCATGTTCATTACATTTAGACCCTTACTGCACAACCAGATATAACGCAAATCAAAATAATTTTACAAATAGCCTTTAAAAATAACTTGCTCACTTTGTTAAGTCAAAGATGACAAAAAGTAGAGTCCAATAAATATTTGCAGAACCATAACATCTAGAGCTTCCACTAAATTAACTTCTCAGTTTCAAGAGCACTAAAATCTCCTTAGTTATTTAGGTTTACAATCTCTGAATCATATTTGATTCCTCTCTCACAATCTCAGAATCATATTTGATTCCTCTCTCTTTCATAACCTATATCTAAATTAGATGTCATGCTCTGTCAATTCTATATAACCAAATTTTCTGGCATCTGCCCGCTTCTCTTTACTCAAATGGGTAATACCTTAGTTCTAGTAGTGACCACTTGGATGAACTATGTTGATAAGCTCCTAATCAGTTTCTCTAATTCCAGTCTTTCTACTTTCTAGCTATATGGCATACACTCATCAAAATAACCTACCTTAGGCATGAGTTTTACCATGTCCTACTCTAGGTTCAAAAATCATCAGTGTTTTTCTACTGCTTTCATGATTCAATAGTCCTTGCTTTCATATTTAAAGCCTTTGACAATCTGGCTCCAATCAAACATTCCAATTTTATTCCCTATTATTTCTCTTTATGAACTCTATATCTGGCCTACCTCGATTACCATGCTATTTCCCAAAATCAGTATTACACATTATACCTCCATTCATTACAGATTCATTACATCACATTCTGTTGGGTGGAGAGACACAATCCAACTACTTTACAATTTCACCTAAGTAACCTCTTTTTTTCTTCCATTGTGTCCTTCCCTCTCTTATTTCTAGTTCATTGTAGTAAAATATGCTTTTCTAACATCCTTCCCTATTTTCCTATCCCCTCTTATTTATTCCTTCCTTCTTCTCTTTTCCTTGACTTTCCCCAGCATTTGTCATTGCTAAGCATATTATTTTTTTAAACACTTCAGTTTTAGGCTTCCTAATGGATCCTCTTCCTCCAGTCAAATCCTTTTCCTATTTTCTATATGTCACAATCATTATTCCCATGCCTAAAAAAGACTATTTTCATCATGTCACTCCTTTCTAACCAAATCTTCCATGGCTTCCCATTACTACAGAATCAAATTCAAAATCATTCTCAAATTCAGTCAAACATACTCTGGATTCACTTTAACTGTACAAAGCTATGTGAACACTGTATCAGAGATCTCTATGTCTTTATCGTCTCCAAATTCAGCTGTTCATTTGTTCTTTTCATTTTTTTTCCCCGTCTGGAATGCCCTCTTCCCTTATTCGAAGCATACCAGTCCTGAAGGCCTAGTTCAAGTGGCATCTCTTCTATCTTACCTGACTATATTTTAGCTAACATAGAATACATTCCTCTCAAATTCTCACATTGTATTTGCTATTTGCACTCAATTTAACACTTAATCATTTAATGTGCAATATTGTTTTGTATTTAATATGTGCATATCTTATCTCCCCAGTGAGTTTAAATTCTCTGAGAATAAGAGGCTACGTTTTATTCTTTTTTTTTCTTGGTCACACTTAAGGACACTGTTTAGTATATAAGAGATGCTTAATAAATACTTTCGGAATTGAAACAAGGATTTTACATAGTAAAATGCTGGTTATAAGTTCAATGAGCAAAAAAAATTATTAATGATCATTTGTTAATTAAAGGCAACAACTATATTTTACTCCAAATTATCTAGTTTGTATCTATTTTGTATATACCTATATGTCCACATGTAGTACCTCCTCATTAGATCATAAATTCCTTAAGGGCAGAGGCTATTTTACTTTTTTAAAATCTTTTTATTCAGTGCCTTCAGCCACTTAAAAGGCTGTAGAGTATATAACTCTGAATCTAATTTTTAAATAACACATACATATGACTGATTTAACTTGAAGTTACGCAAAATTTTTAAAAAACATCTAAAATTAAAATCTGAATGACTGCATTTGATTATACTATAAACAAACAGCAAACTGTGAAATGAATTATGATAAAATCTTAAGGAAAAGAAAAATGAAAAAGTAAGAATAAAGCAGTAGAAGAGACAGACCTGAGTATCTTCTCCTTGTTGACTCCACTTCTTCTGTGATCACATCGTGTAATGGACAGACATAGACAAAGGAGATGGGCGTGAGTGGATGTACTCAGAAGGTAAAAATTGACACTGAGGGAAAGGGCCAAAAATCGTTTTGCCAGAGAAGCCTGTGCACAGTTATGAGGAAGAGATAATCAAGTAGACACAAAGAGGAATAGGAAAGAACTGATGTAGAATTGGTTAAACTATTGTATGTTAGAAGAATTAGAAAGATAGAATTAGTGTAGGAAATTCAGTATCCATATTTTACAGTTCTGAATAACCAATCCTGACATTGAGGCTGAGGAGAGACACCATTAGTACAAAAGACTGTTACCAGCAATTATTAGTCTGTTCAAGATGTTGCCATTTCAAATGGAATGTACTCTTGTATTTGTGAGTCATTTATTTATTGATTGATGACTGCTGAAAGTAAAGAATTTATATTACCACTGCCAATATCACTAACAGCCTAAATAAGGCCTTATAATTTTTCTCCACTTTTTTGTTTCACTGAATTAACTTGTACACAAATGAAAATTCAGATCAATGGATCAATCAATCAATTCAATACAAACAATTGTTATCATGACAATACTATAGAGCAATGAATATATCCCAATGCAAATATATTTAAATCACATTTAAATTTATAGATAACCTTAAATGAAAGAAAAGATCTTTAATTATTTTTAAAAGTTTTTCACAAAATATGCAGAGAGTAATAGTTTTATCACAAAATTTACAATAAAACATAAACATGTAGATAAGGTGTGCTTTCTGGAGAGTATCTATTATTTGTCAGTTAAGAAGGCATCAAGAGGTTTAACTAAAAATGTCTGAAAGCATGAAAAATCCTATCAAACTGAGCATCTAGAGATGCTCTTTCAACAGAACTAAAAAATTGGCACTAGAACATTTGAACAAAAGAAAAAAAATCAAAACCAAAATCCTCGCATGACAATTACTGCATCAGTGGGGCAGATAGGTGTTACATCATTTCATCAAACAATTTCACAATTCAGTTCTGCATTACCTAATTTTCATAAGTATTATGGAAAATGCATCTTTAGAATTCAATATATTCAAATCACAGCAACTGAGAGCACTGAATAATTCCAATTACCAAGCTATCACTTGTCATTGAATAGTAAGGAATGTAAAAATTCCATTAGAAGAAAATAACAAGTATTCAAATACAAAATTATAAAAGATAAATCCTATTATTAATTATAAAAATTAAATATGTATTAATATATACTGATAACTAGAAGGTTCATTATGCTACTATGCAAACTTTATTCAAATCCTGTAACAAAAGCCCCCCTATACCCTATTACTCTTCACCTACATTCACAGAGACTAATAAGAGCAGAACCCCAGGAAAAGCATGTTCTTCTAGAATTATGTACAGAGACTGTACATTAAAAGTCAAAATATATCACCTTCTCTTACCCATCACCAAAAAGATAAAAAAAATACAAATTACAATATTATTGCAAATGTAATAAATCTGAATTCATAGTGTTTTATTTTAAATATGTAACATGAAAATTTGTCTATGCATCATACTGACAAAGTAAAGAAATAGTTTTTCACAAGTGACAAAATGAATTATTTCTATCAAATAATACACATATTTAAGTAAGTTGTAACTCAAGGAAAGAAACTTCATTATGTACGAGAAATCTAGAAAATGTTTAGATCAAACAAGATGGTTGCTCCACCAAGACTTATGAATTACTTGTGTAATTTTATGTTACTACTGACACAAAATGATTTTTACCTATGGATAAAAGCAAGCTAAAAGCATTCATATATTTTCACACCCTATTCATTAGGTAATCATAGTTAAATAGCCAAAGTAGAAATTAAATGACTTACCCAAGGTCATAAAATTAGTCAGTGGCAGAGCCAGAAATAGAGCTCAGGTCTCCTGATTACCCAGCCATTGCTCTTTCCACTAAACTCTACTTGACCCAATAAAAACATTTGAAACACAAAAGTCAAAACAAAGAGAAAAAATTGTCTCTGATACATTATTATATTTTATAATTTCATTGATTTAATTTAAAAGGTTCAAAAGAGGTACATTCAAATAATAAATATTTAGATTGCTAAGACCATGTGCTTATTCTTATAAGAAAATATGGAGATATTGTTTCTAGTATGTGGGCATATTCCTTAGCTACACTATTCTTTGATTCTTCTTTAGGTTTAAGACAAGGCAAAATCTATACAACCAATTGAGAACAATGAAAACCTTTCACAAAGATCACAGTGCCAAACTATAAGCAACACTAATTAATAATGGGCTTTCAATCCAACATTTTTTTCATGTTTCTATTTTTCATATTAATAGACAATATCAAGATCTTTAGCAAAACCCCAGAAGTTACTAGACTAACGAAAATCAAAACTCAATAAGGAGCTATTTTATATCTAATAGTGACAATAACATTTTTCTATAACTTTCTTGCCTTTATTTAAATCAAACAGTATTACAGCTTTATTTCCACTGTAAAGTAACAAAAAAAAAACTTCTTGAATTATCATGAGATCCTCATGTCCATAAATCCTTTCTTATCAGGATTCATATATTTGGAAAGCTAGTAAGAATGTAAATGCTTATTTGCAAAAACTATTATAATAAATTGTGTTTTACAGGGCCTAGTAAACCTAAAATGACCCTTACCTACACTTTTGACCTCATATTCAACATTCTATCACTTTGCTGGCTGGCCATCACCAAATAATCTCTATTTCAATGGTATGAGTAGGAACATGAGAACAGAAACTGAAGGAATGTGCTAACTTATATCCCTCTAATCTTCCTTATCCATTAGCATGATAGTGAAAGATCAGTGAAGCTATGCTGTCCATAGATATTGTCCCAAAGCTGTTGCCACTGTAATTATACCATTCTTTTACACCTAAGTCCTTATAAGGAATTTATAAATAAAATTTACATTATCTACTGCTTCATTAATTTCAGCGAAGTAAACAAAAATTGATTATTTCTTACGTTACACTGAATAGAAATATTTTTTCAAATTAAGAAGTCATAAAGAAATAATTTGTTCACTTATTGGCAATCTAGTAAGCTTTTGAGCAAATGTTAAAGACAGCATTATCACATTATTATTAAAAGTTACATTAAATAAAGACATTTTTAAATAAAAAATGCTAACATAAAATACTGACCAAATACATTGGTAGTTTAAACCTAATAAACAAATGTTTTTTCTCTACCATTCATGTAATAAGTTAGGGATACTATTATTCTTTCCTTAAATACATAAACTCCATAGTGGAAGGAAAATTTTTAAACGAACCACTAACCCAGAGTGAGCCCTCATTTTAAATTAAGATTAAGAAAAAAAATAATCTGAAGTCCTTACAACAACAAAAAGATATATGAAATTCAGCCTTATAGAGGCAACTGAAGATAGAAATATTGACTAGGTAAATAAAACATTTTTATTTAATATGGTTGTGAACTAAAATTGAACATTTTTTGCACATAATCAAATATTATGTATTTCCTTAATAAAACATTTGAAATATTATTAAAACTGTTATAGAAAATACTGGATAAATAATTTGATTTTGCTAAATATATTCAGTGAAAAAGAAAGATAATTCTCAGGACCATAACACTATTAATTTATACATAATATTGTGTCCAAAATAAAAAATAATTCCCTCCCCTCAAGATGACAAGTTACATTATTATTTTTCAATTAAAATATATATGCATATGTATGCATATATATGTGTGTTATATATATAATATATATATATATATATTATATATATATATATATATTATATATATGACACATAGAGAGACGATAACTAGAATTCCTGTTTTTAAAATCTGGTGCCCCTGACCTTCATATCTATACATTTCTAAAATTTCTATTGAAGCAATGCAATGTCTGTTTGAAATACTATATAACATGTCCTCAGTTGCTATCATTTTTAACAAGCATCCACTCATACTCTGTTGTCTGTTTAAATGTGTATGATTTAATATATATCTCTACATCTTGGAGTATTCTCTTATATTATGAAATACCAGTAATATATATTCAACATTAGCTTCTAAGAATAACCAAAATGGCCCACTCCAGGACCCTAAAGTTTGAGTATTTTGTTTAGGAAAGGACATTCCAAAAGAATAGTAAAATAAACACCTACAGAATAGATAGCATAAAATCCAAAAAGACCTAGAAAGCATAAATTATATATTTACTATTTTAGTCATGAAACTCATTCTTTTTTTTCCCATGCGGTCATAAATTTCTTCAAAACTCCCTGATAACTCATTTAAAACTAATATTTATAATCATTTAAAACAATTATATTGACAATGGATAGAACCTGAGATTTATTCATGATATAAAAATTGTATATATCTTATTATCACTTCTTTCTGTGGGGTCTACAGAGCAGAAATTCTGTGATTTAAAAAATAATTATGTATATTTATCAGATATTGTTTTTCATGTACACATCTTTAAATGTGTTTCCTCACACAGGAACAAGTTTTTTATTACTCTTTCTTTTAAGTCTGAGAAATCAAGCAATTTTGATGTATGTATACAAAACATGTTCAAAACATGCACTGGCTGGTAGAATCCATTAGTTAATGATGTTTTTTAGGTTAAGCATTACTCTTTAAAAAATTAACTTTTTATGAAAAAAAACCTTTAATATCAATAATTTTATGTCTTAGATCATATTTTGGAAGCTACCTTGTGAATGACAAATCTATAATTATTTTCTGATGAGAACAACTTACAAATAAATGAATTGAATAAATAACAAATAAATAACTTAAAACTTGAAATTCCTGTTAACTTATCTATAGAAACATGAGAGCATAGTATTTTTTCCTTCTAGGTAAGGCAATATTTGGCTTGACATAGAATGACAATTTTGGCATGGTATTTGGCATCAAATTAAAATTCAATAGGGTGATTTGCCCCATTTAAGACATT